AAAAAAAAAAAAAAAAAAAATCACATCAGGGTAGCAATATAAATGGATTAACCAGAAAAGTGGAGGCTTTTCGCTCAAAGCTGCAACTATCCATTCATTTTAATATCAGCACACAACAAAAGCCACCTTTGGTTCTCACCTCTGTTCCTTAAAGATAATTCTCCCTACATTCTCTCAATCCTCTCAAATAATTTCATAAATCTACCTTCTGCCTTCTGTATAAACTTTAGTTTCATGAAATCTTACTCACACCTTAATCCCACTTTAAAACATTAAATATATGTTATAAATTTGCTGAAGTTGCCTTTAATGAAAGTAAGAATCCTTACCTTTCTTACACTGTTGTACAGTCAAAAAAATAACTTACAAACATTACCTCTTAGAACCTTCAGAGAAGCAATGCACAGCAGGTAATTATCATCATCCACATGCTATAAACAGTAAGCCCGGGGCCACGCATTCATAAATGATAGGACCAGGCCTGCAATGCAAACTTTCTAAGTCCAAATTCCATTTTCTCTTCACTGTGTCACTGAGTTTCATAACATGCCAGTAGGTATATCTTATTACTCAAAACGTATGTTATTCTGTACTATGTTTAAGTAAATACATCTTTTAATAAGACACTTTTATGCCCAAGTGCTTACTACAGGACCATTTACTAAGAAGGCTTAATTATTTTAAGATGCTCATAATGATAACAGTTATCACTAGATGAAAAGGGACAACGGAAGCAAAATGTTTGCAAAATTGCTGAGACTACACCAGGAATATTTTGCCTTGAATTCTGCAATATGACACACAACAACAAAGACAGTATGGGTAATTTAAGGATGTGTGAGTTTCAAAGGGCAGAAATAGGACATCTTCATTCTCTTTAACTCAGTTAAGCCTCAAATACTGATATAGTTCAGAGCATCTTATTACTAGGAAAACATAAATCAAAAGGAGTTCAACTAGGAGCAATAAAACAGATTAGTGTCTGGAAGGACTGACTTTAAAGAAAGTTTTAAAAGAATTAGATCCAGGTAGTCAAGATAAAAAACAGCTATGAGGAAGCTTTTTTTTTTAAGCTAACACCCACACCAAAGGCAGAAATTATATCAGGAAAATGCAAACAGGAATAACTGTAAATACTTATAAAGGGAAAATTCAGGAGAAATTTCCCAGCAAAACCTTATGAGATAGAAAAACTCACTCCCCTAGGGGTGATGAAAACTAAATTTCTAGAGATATTTAATGCCAGGTTGGACAAAACAAGAAAAGGATTCCATATGGAATGATCCTATAGTGGCCCCTGACATGGTAGAAGGACTAAAGATGGCCTCTTAGATCTTTACCATTTATGTTTTTTTAAAATTCTATGAAGTCTTACAGGGCACTGCCTTTTGCCAATTTCTTTTCTCCCCATGATGCCCACTTTCTCCTTTCACAAAGGGAAACAAATTGTAGCCTTCGTTTTAAGCAAATCTCATTGTTCTCAGTGTAATACAATCCTAGGTACAAGGCTGGGAGAAACAGACCAATTTCTAAACTTATAGTGGTCCTTTTCTCTCCAGCAATTCCTGGGGCTCTTAAAAGTTTTCTCACAAACTAAAGAGGAAGTAGTTCAAATGGACTGGAAGAAGAGCTATCTCATCAGGAAAACCATTAATATTCTCCCTTCTTATGTGTGATCACAGAGCTGAGAGTGACTCTAGGAGCTGGTTCTGGGTCAAATTACCATCAAAGGTGCCGTTAAAGACTATCTTTTACCTTTCAGCATTTATGCTGAGTGACAGCAAAAGTCTACTTGCAATACACACTTTCATAGCAATGACTTTTATCTTTGAAAAGATATAGCCTTAAACACCTACCTGCTTTGGCAAATGTCATAAAAGAACGAGTCCTAGTCACGTTCCAAACTCAAGAAGTCTCAGCCTTGCCCTCTTTCTCTGTTCTGGCACTTTAAAAAAGTATTCCTCGGCCAACCTAGAAATACATTCCAATACCTCTCCAGAAGTCCAATTTAGTGAAGGCCCAAGAAAACACAGGGCATTTGCTCCTTTAGCTGATTTGTCAGGACAAGATGTAACAAAATTCAGAGAGCTCTGAAAACCTGTCCCTGAGCCCTTTGTAAATACTCCAAGAATGGACACTACTGCCTCTTCTATCTAATCTTAACAGTGTCAATAGCTCAAGAAACGCCAATACCCATCATGCCTCTTTGAAAGTACATCCCCCCCCCAAACAGAAAGTTCATAGATACTAACACCTAACCTTCTAAACAAAAATTTTTCAATAGCATTTTCATTTTTTATCTAGTAAAAATGAGACTGTTCAAACCAAAAAAAGGTTGGCCTCTCAGATTGAAATAGGATTTCAAGTTTTCAAAGCCCTTCCAACACTTATCTAATCCTGTCAGGAAAGAAAGCTGGCATTTGTAATCCCATTTAAAACAGAAAAAAATGCAACTCTGAGATCAGGCAATCTGAAGAAGAACACACTGTAGAGATTTCCAAACCTTCCTCAATAAGGGACCAATCTAAAAGGGATTATTAGAGTGGGTTTCAGAAACGGCTGAATCCCTTCTGTACCCTTATCCCAGGAAAGCAAGAAATAAGAAAAACAAAAAGGCACTTGTCTAGAATTTTAGCTATGAAATATGACTGTGACTTTTAATAATCTATGAACGTGGCTGAATTTTCTCAAGAAACCTGCTGCATCTACAACCCGCAGGACCAGCCTGCCAGCAGTTTGGGCTACCAGCTCGCAGCCTCCGAGACAGCTGGCCAGTAAAAGGCCAGCAGCTGGGTGAGAACCCCTCTTTGCACAATGAGGTCAGGAGTTCCCCATTGCAGTGTCCCCTCATCTAAAGCTTCCAACTTTTCAGGCGAGCTGAAACCAGGCTCTCCAAATCTGCTTCAACGCGCGCGCGCGCGCGCACGCACACACACACACACACACACACACACACACACACACAGCCGGTGCTCGCTTCCGCTCCCCAGATAAAGAATGGTAATCAAGTTTCTCACCATCCTCATAGTTTTTGAGATAGTAATCCGGGCCCGGGCCCCCGCGGCTTTTCGCCGGGTTCCTCAGGTTCTGGAACTGCAGGAAGTCGGTCCTTTTGCCCCCGAAGCGCAGAAAGGCGGGAGAAAGTCCCCGGGCCAAGGTCACCAAGCGCTTGGAGCTGCAGAGGTAGAGAAAAAGAGAGGAAAGGTTCCTGAGACAGGACAAGAGCGCGTGGGCCACGGAAAAGGGCCCTCTTCCCACTCCCTGACGGCGACCTGGCCGAGGCTAGAGGCTCTGTGCCTGCCTCAGCCCGCAATCCAGGTTGGCCCCTGGCAGCTCCTCAGCGTCTCCCTAGTGCCCCGCGCCCCAGCCTGACCTCACCGCCCGGCTCCCGGGGCTACGCCTCCCGCTTCCAGGCACTCGGAGCGGTCCCCTCCCGCAGACACCCAGATCCTGATCTCCTAAAGGCTACAGATTGTGTTTGTTCATAGAGTGTATGGGGTGGAGATGTATGCGCTAAGAGCACGAGCACGGCGCTAAGGCGCAGTTGCCCGGCTTCTGCCACTGCCAGGAAAGCGCTCCGGGCGGAGACGCGCCAGGCGCGCCTACCTCGGGCTTCCTACCGTTGCCAAAAACTTGTATGCTGAAAGCCGGCATTGCCTCCTCAGCCCCAGCGGCCCCACAAACCTCCGTGCAGGAGGCAAAACCTTCCTTGTTACTCTGAGACCAGGCCGGGCGCCTGAGCTCAAGTGGATTCCTACTTTTTACTTTTAATGTCCAAGTTGATTTTCCTTTTTCACTATGTTGTGAAAACCGCATTGTTTTCTAAATCCCCAGAAGGAGAGATTCCAGGGTAAACCCTTGCCTCTACAGGAACACTTCTCCAATCCCGCACCACCACCACCGCCGCCGCCACCACACACACACACACACACACACACACACAGAGAGAGAGAGAGAGAGAGAGAGAGAGAGAGAGAGAGAGAGTGTTTGTGTGTGTGTAAAGGCAAAGTCTCTTTGGACTCTGAATAATTCTGCCTGATCCCAGTAAAGGTAACATCCTCCATCCCACCCCACCCCGAAGTTAAGCTCCATCTTTCTTCTTTCCCATTTGGGGCCGTTTGGAACCGCTAGGGAAAATGAAGCTTCCCGAAATATGGAACCTGCGCGTTAGGGGATACTAAATAAGCACCAAAACAAAAGCATCTACATCTATTTAAGGTCAGGATTTCTATCGATAGGTCTTTTTAAAAGCCAAAGGCTACTGCTTTGGAAAGGAGTGGGGAAGGAGCAATGCAGACACTGATAATGCTAAAGAGAATCAGCTGTTGAGTTCCGGGTTTGTAAATTATTTTTTAATGCTTTGCTGTTTCAGATTCTGAAAGCCCAAATCCAAATGGTGACGTTAAAGAGCATCATAACGGAGGTGGATACGAGACAGAAAAAACTGACACTCCGCTTTTGGAGAGTTTTTGAGAAGAGACGTGGCTACCCCAGGGTCTAGTAACCAGAAGGGTCGTTAGGCTGAGGTCTCCGGGACCGCGCTCCAGGACAGTCACAGTCAGGGCGTCGAGTGGGCCTCCTATCGCAAAGGAGACGTCCGCGCGAATCCAGTCCTGGGGAAACAGCATTTCCAACAACCTTTCATCCGGAAGCCTGCACAGCCAATGCGAATGCGCTCCGCCAGGACTTCTTCCCCGAAAAGCTGCCTTCCAGACTCTTTTCAGCGGCAGGAAAACATTAGGCGAATAGGCTGATTTTTAAAAAGAAGAAAGCAAGCTGGGAGGTGGGGGGTGGTGGGGGGCGGTCTGTGCAGCTGAAGGAATGAAAGTGGGGCAAGCATTGCGGAAAACCCCTGTTGCACCCTACATTCGGACGAGCTCAGAGACGCGCTCTGCTGCACGAAAGAGCTTTCAAAGAGGAAGCTGGGCCGCGTGGAGCTGGCTGTTCCTCCCTCGCAGCAATCGCACCAGCAGGAACCGAAACGGCCTCGGCAAAGGCAGCTACAGCCTCTCAGTCCTCCGACTACCCTTCCTCCTGCTGGAAGGAGCGCTCCACGTGGCGCCTCCCGCTACCTGCCGCGTCCACAGACCCGACTCGGGCCAGGGGGACAACCCCAAGAGTTGAGAGGCAGGCGCATCTCAAGAAGCAAAACTCGAATTTCGCAAGGAGTGAAAAATATGAAGGACGCACACAGACGCGGCCTTCGGGCAGAGTGGGACTGAGAGCGCTGAGGGCTCTTGGAGGGGAACCCACAGGCTGAGGCTCCGACTTGGAGGGAATTTTTTAAAACTCAGCAGTGGGATTCGACATTGCAGAGGCTTTATTTCTTATTTTACACTGCAACTCTGTCCCTGGTTGGGAAGGGATCGCAGTTGCCTAACTGCCAAACTGCAACAACCCGGGGAGAATGTGAGCCCAATTAGATTACAAGCTCTAGAGCAAAGGGGATCTCAAACCTCCGGGTTTGCTAATCCGCTGGTGCGGGATTCAGATCTCTAAAGCCTCCCTGGAGTATTTCTGGGACTCTTACTGCTTCCCTTATAATGCTGTGACCCCAGCGAGGATTTTTTTTTTCTTTAAAGAAAAGCTAAACTGTGCAGTTACCGCAGGAGATTTAAGGAGGAGGAACTGGGGGGAGGGGGGCATTCTGTCTATAAAAAGCGCCTTACAAAGTCCTGAAGTCTGGAGATGACAGCAGAGGATATAAAATAAAAAATTTTAACTCCGATCCAACTTGCCCACCACTCAAGCCTCTGCTTAAATTCGTTTTCTCTCTGGGAGTGAGAGAAAACTGCCGAAACGATCTTTCCGTGGAAAATTCCACCTTCGTGCAATCCCCGCTCGAACAATCAAAGACACACACACACACACACACTCCTCTCTCTGTCTCACAAACATACATACACACACACACACACACACACACACACACACACACACATTCCTTTCAGGTCTTTGTTGTTTGGGACCTTTTTCTTCGCTTTTGTAACTGCCCTGAAACTCTTGTTTCTTTTTCAGAAGGAGATGGGGAAGCTAATTGTGGATATATGTAAGCACAACATTTTTTCAGTCATAACTGATAAGTTTCTGAAATGCCTTCTGCATTGCAAACATGTGCATCTTAATAGAAAACATTGCTTTTCTCAATCACTAGTTACAGCCTCATAGCACATAATCCAGGGGAAGGAAAACCTCCTTTCTTCTCTTTGAGAGATCTGCTTGACTTATTTTCTTCTTTCCCTTTGGAATGGGGGATAGGAAGGGGTTGGGGTGGTGTTACTAAAAATTTAAAATGATCCATCGAAGCCCCTGCCTTACCTTAGGAAATCGAGCCAGCCATCATGAATGATGGACGGATCCAGCTGCAGAGAGAGGAAGTTCTCATTGACTGTCCTGACTGGGTTCTTGGTGCTCACATCAAGTAGAATCAGGGTCTTTTCCTTCAAACCTGGAGCTCTGTCTACAGGCAAGGGTCTCCTGCCTCCAGCTTGGGAGGAAAGGGAGAGATGGAGCAACAGAGCCAAGTAGAGAGCCCCCGGGGCTAGGCACGCGGGGGGGCGGGAGTTGCTGGAGGGCATGGCTTCAGGGAAGGCACAGAGCACCCTCATTCAATTCCTCAGATTTAAACCTCTCTTCCTACTGGGTCTCGCTAGTGACTAATTGTCCTTATCTAAAGTGTGTGTCTGTCCGCCTTTTCCCCCCTTTTTTTCCTTCCTTCGCTCGCTTTTTTTTTCTTCAGTGTTTTGGTGCTGGTGGAGCGAACTCACGCCCCTAGCCAGCCTTCCCAGTGACTCCTGCCAAGAGAACTCGTACACCGGCACCGCCCCTTTAAGAGATTTCTACTGCAGACATTTTTTAACTTTTTAAAGGTAAGGGGAGGGGGCAGGCAGGAAGGAGGAGAAAAGGGTGGCGTTGTACCCTCCTAATTTAACCCTCTAGGGTCAGGAAGCAGAGGGAGGAATCCAAACTGTGCTATTGTGCCATCTCGGTACAGACCGAGGCGTCTTGTTTTAACTTCCCTCCCTGCGAGGCTCTGGAGGGCGGTTCAAGCTCCGACTCCGACCCGAAAGCCCCAGCACCAACCCCGGGCACACTGGGGTAGTGTTCCAACCGACAGCGCGCTTGTTTGTCCTGACAGCGTCAGGCACTTCGTCTGCTCAGGGCTGGCTGGTCGAAGCAGCAAAGCAAGGGCGATTAAGTTGCAGAGGGGTCTTGAGGCGGTGATCCTGTCAAAGCGTAGAGCCGTGAAGGAGATTCCTTGAACAGGATCCCTGATCTCTGTGACGCTCCGGGTAGCCATACAGAAGCATCCTCTGACCTCGATAGGGCAAAAATGGCCAAAAGGAAACCTGGTCCAGCAGTTTCTCCGATCCGAGGGCCAAAAGGGACACGCACCCTGGTCCAGCAACCGAGGAATAAAGGTCTTGGGGCGTCAATATACGCTGGCTTTGGCCAAATCGAAGCTACCTGGATGGTGCTTGGATAGTCAAGGCGGCTCTGCGTTCATCTGTGCCACTGCTTGGCCACTCTATTCTGCTGTACACACAGGTAGAGTTCCCCCCCTCAAGCCAGCCCCACTTGGAGGTCAATCCTATACCTAGCCCTGCTGCAGGGAAGTGTGCCTTTACGGTGTCAGATGGGACCATAGTGACACTTTCGGGTTTCCATTGGCCCCCAGTCAAAAACCAGAGTCCCCCTGAAGGGGGGTAACAGCTGGAAGCCGCGAGATGCACAACCTGCCGCTGCACATCGAGCTTCCACCCCACAACAGCTTGCAAATTGAACTCTAGGTCCTATCCTGAAGCGAGGGAGAGGGGTTAGGCGCAGTTTGCTGCGGTCACATTGCTGGGCCCAACTTTCAGCTTCTTTCTGAAACAAAATGGGCCTTCTACTTGGCAGATAAAGAGAACTACTTAATGCAGTGTGGGCAGGCAGAATCGCAGAAGCGTCCAAGGGCCTCCTTGGTATCAAACAAGCAAAATCCTAAAATGCAGAACAAGGGTTTTCCATAGGGGTGGATGCACAAGGGTAACAGCAACATGTCTCCTCTTCCCTCCCTCCAGACCAGGATTAACAAATCTGAAAAGAGCTGGAGTAGATGACCTTCAGCTGAAATTCCCTGAAGGACATCTACTAACCTAAGCACCCAGGAAATCGAGATTGTGTTGCATTCATCTGTGAAGTGCCATGAAGAACTTCTAGAAATAGGGCTGCATAAAATGAGGATATGGGAGAAAGCAAATGCAAGTCATATTATTTAAAGATAATTTTTTTAAATCAAGCTGTTACATACTGAAGTACTGGATGTTGGCTCCAGACCTAAGGCCTATTTCCTTCAGTTCCTGAACATTTCTAACACATTTAGATCCTTTAAACTGTGCATGTGTGTGTGTGCATGTATGTGTGTGTGTGTAGGTGTAGGTAGTGTGGTGTGGTATAAGTTTCAATCAAAATTTTTGTAATTTTTAAGTATGTACTGAGCACCTCTTAGAGATGGCAACAGCATGGTGAGCAAACACTTTTGTCTTTGTGTTCCCAGACCGGAGCACTTAGTAGGCATTCAATAAATTCTGTGAAATAAATTAATGGTAAATCCAATCATGCTCGACACTGAAATAATATGCCCCTCTCCAGAAGAATGTGAAAAATAAATAGTTTTATTTGTCACAGTAAATTATGTTTTGGGTCTCTGTTCAATAATTCGTTTTCCCAATTATTAACATTTCCCTGGCCATCTCCTTAAGAAAACACTTATCTTGTAAAGCCATTAGTTCATCTGCTATATTAAGAATTCTTTTAGTTATATATTTTTGACAATGAGCCAGATTTTCCAAGGGCCTAAATAACCCTTGGCTTACAAGTGAATGCACTTTTAGAAGCCATGTTAATTGGGACTGGTGGATGACAATTTGAATAAATATACCCACTAGATGTCTATAATTAATATACCTTTCAAAAATACCTATTCTTGTGACCAAGAATGAGCTTGAGTATAATGAGAATCTGCTTAATTATGAATTTTTACCATTTTTGCTTACCAACCCAACTACTGTGTAATGGTTTGCTGGCCTCGTTAACTTAAGTAGTATTTAATGTTTTTATCAGAATCTGTATGTGGTATTAAAATCAAAATCAAAAAAACAAAGTGCTTAATTCCTGATGAAAACTATTTCTCTACTCCAGCCACTGAAATTCTAAGTAATTCTAAAGAGGACATCAGGGGAAAGAAATCAGTGATATTTACGGGGTTAGCCCTTGTTGGTCTCAAAGATGATTTTATTGTTTGGTCTTTTGGTTTAGTTTGGGTTTAGCTCTCCAGAGATACTCTTTGCAAATAGCTACCACACACATACCATATCATGTTTTTTGTCTTGCCTCTCATCTAGCCCTAAATTATATGCTGTAAGTAGTTCATTGTTAATCAGTATATTAGATTGATGTTTCTATACGATCTTCTGTATGCTAGGTAACAGCAATCTGCATCTCTGTATTGTTTTAGATTATAATTTCCTCCGAGAAAAGTATTGGGCCTCTGTATAAAATAAGAATTATCAAACCAGGCTCAGTGGCTCACACCTGTAATCCCAGTACTTCAGGAGGCCAAGGCGGGCGGATCACCTGAGGTCAGGAATTCGAGACCTGCCTGGCCAACATAGTGAAACCCCATCTCTATTAAAAATACAAAAATTAGCTGGGCGAGGTGGCAGGCACTTGTAATCCCAGCTACTCAGGAGGCTGAGACAGAAGTGCTTGAACCCGAGAGGTGAAGGATGCAGTAAGCCGAGATGGTGCCATTGCACTCCAGCCTAGGCGACAAGAGTGAGACTCCGTCTCAGAAAATTAAAACTAAAATTTTTAAAAATAAAATAAAATATGAACTGTCAGGAACTAGATGCGTTGATGTCTCCTTGGAAACACTCTGCTTAGTACCTACTGAGTAGTCTCATAGAGAAATTGCTTTGATATTTAAGAGCCCAGGTTCCCAGAAATGTAAGAAGATATGAAGATTAACTGATTCAGTGATTTCTAGACTTTGGTATTTAAAAATAAATATTAGTTTAATGGGGAAAGTGAATATATGTTTGTCAATTTTTTACTTCATCTAGTAAGGACCTTTAAAAAAACTGTCAGCTACTTATCTCTATTACCTTCCAAAAGAAAAGAAAATTTTAGGCTGGGTGCAGTGGCTCACGCCTATAATCCAAGCACTTTGGGAGGCCGAGGCAGGTGAATCAACTGAGGTCAGGAGTTAAGACCAGCCTGGCCAACATGGTGAAACCCCATCTTTACTAAAAATACAAAAAATTAGCCTGGTGTGGTGGTGGGTGCCTGTAATCCTAGCTACTTTGGAAGCTGAGGCAGGAAAATCGCTTGAACCCAGGAGGTGGAGGTTGCAGTGAGCTGAGATTGCACCACTGCACTCTAGCCTGGGCAACAGAACGAGATTTCATCTCCAAAAAAAAAAAAAGAAAAAGAAAAGAAAATTTTAACATCTGAACAAAAGCTAAAATGACATGTCAAAATAAAGAACAGATGTTTAAAATGAATACATTTAGCTTTATGAAAAATCCCAGCTGGGCACAGTGGCTCACGCCTGTAATCCCAGTACTTTGGGAGGTCAAGGCAAGTGGATCACCTGAGGTCAGAAGTTTGAGACCAGCTGGGCCAATTTGGTGAAACCTAGTTTCTACTGTAAATACAAAACTTATCTGGGCATGGTGGCAGGTGCCTGTAATCCCAGCTAACTCAGCAGGCTGAGGCAGGAAAATCACTTGAACTCAGGAGGTGGAGGTTGCAGTGAGCTGAGATCATGCCATTGCACTCCAGCCTGGGCAAGAAAAGTAAAACTCCATCTCAAAAAAGGAAAAGAAAAGAAAAATCCCATATTATTATCATTTCATCTCAGACAAGAGGAAATATATACCAGTGACCAACGTGGGTACCAGGACTGGTGAATGGGACTACTGAGATATTATTCTGTGTTTACGGCCAAATTCCACTTTGTAGCATATAATGTTGCAAGATGTACAAGCTAATGGTCATCTTGATTGCAGTAATTTCTTATGACTTTTCCCATGCCTTTTTGTCACTTTCAGCCTGTCACAAACTCATTAACTCTATATGCCTCCCACCCTTTCCTTCTACTAAACATTCAAAGCCTAGTTTTCACTATTCCCATTTCCACCTCCTGCAATAATTATGTCTAGCTGTCTAATAGAAAGAAAAAAAAATGTTTTACACCATAGCTAGGACTGGGAAGCATGAAGATATACCAACCAGTCCACTGTGTCCTCACTTACTGCCTGTATACCCAACTATGATGACTACTATTTATTGAGATCTCATGGTTCAGGCATGATGCTAGGGCTATATATGTTACCACATTAATCTTCTCAAAAAACTCTAAGAAGAGTTTTTTATAAGCTTCTTCTTCTACCTTGTTTACATATGAAAAAAATTGAGACTCAGATATTAATCAACTTTCTCATGGTACACAGTAAATAAGTACCAACACAAAATTAAAACCAGGACCATCTGACTCGAAAGCCTAGGTTTGTGTTCTTAGTCACCACAAGTGGCTAAAGTATTGTATAACCCTCTAGAGCCTGTCAATGTATAGTGGGGAAAAGAAACCTTAGAGTAGGAGTTGGAGGCCCTAGGTTTAAGTCCTGACTTTACTA